AACCCAGCACCTACAAAACTTAAGAGCTCCCCCTCTCTTAGGTTAATTCCAACAATTCCACTTTTACTCCATTTTATCCTCAGCCTTGACATGCCCACAAAGTTGTCAATCAATAACTTCAAAATTTTCATCATCTCTAAATCAATGTCCTCACAAAAAAAAAAAAAAAAAAAATTGTATCATCAGCAAACTAGAGGTGGGAAACTACTACTTAATTCCTGCCAATTCTCTAACCCCTAATAAGACCCTGTGCAACGCAGCCACAATCATACAACTCAACCTTGAGCCAATAGGGTGAATAGAAAAAGAGAGAAAGGGTCTTGATATCTAATTCCTCTCTTATCAAGAAAGAAATCTTTTGCTAACCCATTTATATGAATTAATAAATGGACTGAGTTAGCACAACCTTTCTCTAGGACTTCTAACAAAACATTCCAGTCAATTAAATCATAGGCTTTTTCCTAGATCCAATTTGCATACCAATCCCTTCTCTCTACTTTTTCTTTTCTCCACAACACATTCATTTGCTATTAGGATTTGGTCCACAATCTGCCTTCCTTCTACTAAAGTCCCTTGGAACGGTGATATGACAGAAGGCATAGCTTGTTTAAACCTCTCAGCCATAACCTTTAATGTGATCTTGTAAATACTCCCAATCAAGCTTATGGGCTTGAAATCCTTTGGTTAGAGTGTCTCTTTCTTTCGGGGGATTAAGTAAATCAAGGTGCCATTTGCTCCAAAAGGAATTTCCCATTTTAAGTAAAATTCATTAAATACATCCAAAATCTTAAATTTGTTTAATTCGCAAGACTCTTGGTAGAAAGACATAGAGAAACCATCTAGGTCAAGGGCTTTAGACCTATCCATTGCAAAAAATTCTTGGACAAGATGCATCTGTGTCCTGCCAACCGGAAAAGCCTTGGATGAGGAATTTCATTCTCTTCAGTCTAACCATACTTGGACTTACCTCCTGGAAAGTAGGCAGTTGGTTGTCAATGGGTATACATTGTTAAGCATCAACAAGATGGTAGTACTAAGCAATTCAAAGCTCAACTAGTGGCCAAAGGCTACACGCAGACATATGGTGTAGTCTATTTAGAGACCTCTCCAATTGCTAAAAAACTGCTCATTTTGACTAACCCTTATTTTAAATTGATGTACAAAATGCCTCCCTCCATGGTGATGTAAAAAATGCCTCTAATCCAACTTCTTTTTGAGAGGACTAAGCATATAGAGGTTTGGTTGTCAATGTCATTTTGTGAGTAAAAAGGTAGCTAGTGGTGAGGAGATCGGATTTCATCCTCACAATTTGTTCTTACACAGTCTCACAACAATCCCAGCCATACATTGGGAATATCCTAGTACTTGTATGTTTTCATTCACAGGAAGATGTTCCCAATGCATGCTTGAAGTGATGTGAGGATGGTGTGAGGAAAAATTTTGTGAGGACAAAATCCAGATTCAGTGGTGATGTGATAATCCATATGATAAACCAAAAGACCAACTAACTGATCTCTTTACCAAAAGTTTGGGCCATTATAGGATATATTATAATTGTAACAAGCTGGAGCTCTATGATATATTTGATCCAGCTTGAGGGGAGTGTAAAGTCTAGTACTTGTTTAAGATAAAATAAAAGAAATTTTATTAAAACAAAAAGCAGCTAGAAGAAAGGTGATAAGCAATAACCTGAGAGGAAGCAAACAAACCTAGAAAACCAAGTAAAGAAACCCCAAGCCCCAAAAAAAAAAGAAAATCAAATCAACAACAGTATAATCCTTGCAAATCAGCAAAAACAAGAACAAACCAAACTGCAACACTAAGGCAAAACCCAGACCCTACAAACTAACATCAACACCCGCAGGAAACCCACACCTATCACCCAATCCCATCAAGACTAAAAAAGAAAAACTCTTCTTATCAGCTTTTTGAGAACATTCTTGTAGTCACCACTCTGATCTTTTGTGTTTTTTGGCGAGCTTATTAGGACCAATGCCAAATAAGCCTCCTTTTATCCGTGCAAAGACATTTGAAATTGGAACCTGCTGCTGACTTTTTCTATTCTTTTGAGCTCTGAATCTTCTAACTTTATAAAATGTTTCCACGGCTTCTTCCAGACTCCCCACTGGCTTCTGACCCTTATCTGAACCCACCATCCCCTCAGAAAATTCTTCCTGTTTCTTGAATACATCCCCGCCATCTCCTTCCCTTTCTTCAGTGAAAGAATTGTCAGAATTTCCATCAAGCACAACAGCAGGCGGCACTACTCTCTTTTTTCCCATTTTTCCACCACTGATCTGAATGCTTCCTTCACAAGCTCTGCCCCTCCTAAGAAAAACAGCCCCAGAATTTTGCTGACTTCCTTGAATTTCCTTCTCTACTTTCTTCAAAGGGAAAAGTTCTGTACTTGTTCCTTTTGTATATTCAAACTCCCTCTCCAATCTTATCTCCTTCCTCCTCTTCCCCTTTCCTCAATCCCTAACTCTTGCTCGCCTCCTTTCTTCTCTTCTCCCTTCCCCACTAACTTCTCCACATCTATCATTTCCTTTGCTCCTATAGTCCTAATCACCTCATCTCCTTGACTGATTTCCCCCTCTTCTTCTGCTCTATTTTCATCCTTCCTCAGTAAAACCTTAATCGTCTTTTTTCCATTCACTTCTTCTACTATTATCTTTTTCTCTCCCCAATCATCCCCTTCAAATCATTCCAGAACTCCTCCCCCTCAACACCAATGACATCCAATATGTCTTTACCGCCCTCCACTTTCTCTTGTTGCATATTATTTGTCTTCACAATCCACCTGAGTCTCCCCCTTCTCTTCTGCACTCCTATTTTCACCCCCATCATCCTCCTGCCACCACCTTCGGCATCACAATCGGCCCCTTCTGCCACCACCTTCTATATTGCATCTTCATCCTCTAGGACCCCTAATCCATCTACAGGTATCTTCTCTTCTTCCATTATTTCTTTCCTCAGACTTGAAGTATTTGGTTCAAGATTGTTTTCTTTAAACTGCTCACCCCCAAAAAACTATTGGGCTGAACCTCCTTCAATAAATGGGCCCACCCTTCAACTCCAATCCAAAGGGTTTACCCCTCCTGAGACAACTATTATAGAACAGCTTAAGGTCCAAATGTTTCTGGCCCAGACTGTCACCCTTTCTATGTCCACATGCTCCCTCAGAAGATCACATGTTGATCCACTTAAAACTAGCCCAGCTCGTAGTTGTTACTCAACTTTCTCTCGAAATATTTTTTTTCTCTTCCTCTTCTCAGTAGCAGCATTACAACAGCCCTTTTTTGAAAAAGCACCAGAGGATTCATCAAGTCTCGAGATTTTAACACACAACATCTCTTTATTCTCTCCCTTCTCCCCCAGACCTTCCAAACTGCTTGTGCCACATGTATTCCACCAAACTCTACCTGCCTGATCTTCAATCTCTTGTCTCCCATACCACAGGGACGCTTCAGCTTCTGATGCCACCCAGAGTTTCCACCATCTCCCTTCAGCGAAGAAGTAAATCGTGTGGGGAATCCTATTCGGTTTAGTGCCTGCAACTGTAGTCTTTACTGCGTGAAGGTCAGCAATGTAAACATCTTCCAACATTCCACCACACACACTTGCTAACTTCTCGAAGACTTGATCCATCCACAAGTTGAAAGGTAGACCAAAAATCTTCAAGATCACACTCAATCCAGGTGTTCAAATTTCATTGCAAGAAGGTGTCCAGTTTGCCACCATCACCAAACCTTCCGATGTTTCAACATTATTGAACTCTGCCTTCGATTTACCAATGTCCAGAACAGCTTTACTGTCATCAAAAGGAATAGCCACAGCCGAATCCGCATTTGGAATTATAATCATAACATCATTAAGAATCATTAACCTTCTTTGCTGTCACTGTCGATATTATTCTTCCTTACCTCCTCCCAAAGCAAACTTTGGCATGCCACCATCTACTTCAATCGTCACCTCCTGAGTCCCCTTGTGTTCCTCTGTATCCTGAAACTTCTTATCTACCCCCAAACCCTTTAACTTTTCTTTTTTCAGCCAACACCTTTCTTTGTACTCCTGCAGCACCTCAGCAACTGCAACCCATCCCTGTCTATTTCTTCCAACTGGCAAACAAATAGTTTGTCTCTTTCAATCTTCCAACTCTTCGTCAATCCTCAAAAAACATACTTTGTTATTGACTTTTTTCTCAATTAAGAAGAGCTTCCATTCCCTTCTCAACTCACTCTTCCAGCTTGGTCTGGTACCGAATGGATTGCTCCCTCAACGAATCCTTTAATCAAACCTGCAATGACTTGGGACAGGAAAACCATGGCCCTCCCTTCCTCTTCAACCGCAAGTCTCTTCCTCCAAATCATCTTGTTCAACAATGTCATAGATAATCAAACTGCTCCATATCCTGCCCAATCATTTAACCAAGATAGTTCATTCACTGCAGGCATATCCTTGTCTCCATTTTGTAGCTTTTCTGCCAAAGTTCTGTTCTCCTTCATCAATGAAGTTATCTGCAAGTAATAGACACTTTACATAATAGTTACAAGAACTTGACCACACATTAACTTGGAAATTCAGAAAAAAAAAAAACTCAGCACAATGTAAATTAACCCTTGTTAAAAGTCTAATCTTGATGTTATGTGTTTATTTATCAAGGGTACAAATGTAATTTTCTATCATATTCGAAACATAATAAACATGGGTCAATAGTGAAGAGAAAGTTGATTGACTCTTCACCATGAAGAAACCCATTTTCTTCTTTCTTTCTCTCCTTTTTCCTTCTCTTGACCGACTGTTATTCTCTTGCTTTTACACCTCTTTCTTGCTATTTTTCACTTTACATTGAAAGATTATGCTTTTTAATCCCTTCCGTCTTTTGATTAACAAATCCATGCTTATCCACCATAAAAGAAAGACTTGCAAAAAATATGTCCTTCTCAAACAAACATAAATGCTAAGGAGACTATAAGTAGCAAGTACAATTTCCAAATTACCTATCCCGGTGTGGTAGTATAACTGTTGTTGCAGATGTATCATTCAGTGGACAAACAAGCAATTCTGAATTAAAATATTCATCACTTCTCTTCTTGATAAAAAAATGATTTCCACGATGGCTGACTGATATGTCAACACCATGTACACGAGGTGTTAACACCACAAGGCCATCTTCTTGCTTAGAAATGTCGAGGTAGAAGACAAAACGTGTATTTTTGCTTTCAGAAGCAACAAATAAAAACCTCTTACTCTCAGAGGCTTGGAGGTCAAGAGAAAACATATCATCCTTCTCATGATAAAGGCAATAATCATTTGATTGCTCAGATCCCAATTTATGTAACCACACCTGTGAAAACAAAAAGAAAAGCCTCGGTATGTAGATCTCTTCAGAGAAAAAATAACTAGTGTTAAACAATGTTAGCTAGCCATCCTTTTGTTTTCTTATCGTTTTTTGTTCAATTTATTTATAATATAGTGATATGGAGAATTAACACTGGTGGCGTGATCAGAAGAAAAGAAAGGGCCAGCTTTTATTTGTACGAGGGATGGTGAATCCATAGGCCATCTCCTTATTAATTGTAATGCTGCTAGACGCTTGTGGCACTTCTTCCTGAAATTGATTCCTGGTGATGATTTTTACAGGGCTCCCCCAAACTCTCTCTCTAAGTTCATCATCCATTGGCCAGTTTGGAAACTTGGTACTAGGGGCCCTGTTTTTGGGAAGGCTATTATTCATGCTGTAATGTGGGGAATTTTAGAGCATAATAAAAGAACTTTTGAGAATAAGTCATCTACTTTGGAAGATCTAAAGGGAAGAATTTTACACCAGATTGGAAAAACAGGATTCATGTAGCTGACCCCATATAGTTGGGATAAGGCATGGATGATGATAATGGTGATTCTCTTGGATGCTATCATGCAAACATTTCAAAAGAGTAAGCTATGATGATTTGGACCAGTGTTTAGAAAAATGGACCAGACCTGCCGGTCGGACCGGTTGAACCTAACCGGATACCCTGGCCGGTTCGATAACACCCCAAGAATCATAATGTCTAAAACCCGGTGAAAACCGGCTGACTGTCTGGTTTAACCGAAAAACTGGTGAAATGCTCCTGACCACCCGGGTCACTAAGTAGTTGAAATGAGTGTGACAAGACTTGAATCCATGACTTCTTATTTTCACATATTACTTAATTACCACTAATCCACCTCTTTACTTGTGCTATTTAATGACTTTATTGTATATATTACTTTATTACACATGTATTTCAAAGAAAATGTAAATCAAGAGACTTTGGACCTTAGTCATTTGCTTTAAAAATTAAGGAATTTGCCATCCATACCGTGTTTAAGTATATTAAAAGTTGTAAAATATATTATATGTAATATTTATATAACCCATAATATACATATATGCCACATCATCACGGTTCGACCCTGGTTGAACCTCTCTCTCCCTTCTCCGGTTCTATGACCAGTCCAGTTCTCTGAACATTGATTTGGACAGCAGTCTTCCAGACATTCTGAATTCAACTCCTAAGAATCTCCATTGCTGCTCAACCCTCAACCCAAGGCAGAATACAAATTTTATCCTTAGATTTGATGGTAGCTGCAGATCTATTTCTAATTACAGGGGGGCAGCTGAATAGGAGGCCTTATTCTTAAATCTAATGGCAGTCTGTTATGGGCTTTCAGTGGGCCAATGGGGATCTCAGATGCTTCTGAAGCAGAAGTTAGAGCTCTCTTTGTTGGTTTGAGGGCTGCTAAGTCTATCTCAGCCAGATCCATAGCAGTGGAAGGAGATTCTAGAATTATGATTGGTTGGACTGTCAATAGGAATCTCGGCCCTTGGATATTTTCTCACTTCCTCCATGAGATTCATGATCTCTCAGGCTTATTGAACTGCTCCTTTAGATGGATTACAAGTGAAATGAATTTGATGGCTGATAAACTTGGTAAATCTGGGGTGGATGGATTTTCTCTATAGTGCAAAGGGGGGATTTTACATTTTGGTTGTACAACTTCTCATGATCCCTCCCCCTTTTTGTGCCTTGAAATGAAGTTGCCTCTTTTCAAAAAATTATATATATATATATATGGAAAATTAATTGTTTAAGTATAGATTAGCTTTTTCCTTTATATTATTGGTGGGATATTCTTGTATATCTTATTTATTGGAAGGTTCAATGAGAATAGGTCATATCACCCTAATTTGCTTATTTTCCCTTTAAGATCACTCCAAGATGGTGTTGGAACATCAGTAAACCTATTACCTTTGTGCTGAATAGAGGAAATGACTAGATCTTGCTGATGTCAGATGGTTTCTAGATAACATCAGAAGGGTTACAGATGGTCTGCAACCAATGAAGAAAAGACCCTGAAGTTTAACAAGGCCTGATTTTAGGTTGATTATCATTGTGGATGTTTGGCACTATTTGAGTTTTTTTTCTTGAATTTATGGTGAAAATCTTAAAATAAATATTTTAAATTTTAATCAGCAATATACAGATATTTTATCAAGTCTTAGTAATGAATGATATAAAATATTCAGTTTTGCATCCAGGACATCATTTGATAGGCTTGCATCTGCTACATATCCCACTCATTACTTTCATATAATCATAATACATTCCTCTCCCTGAGAAGTAGTCCCCCGATAGAGTGTAGTCCTACTTATACCTTGTTTCCTAAAGCATCAGCCATGTTGTTAGTTGATCTATGTATTTATTTGCAAATTGTTCTTACCTCCCTAGTTGAGATTTTGCTTCCCTCTAAATATGTCTGTATTTCCAAGAACCCTGTGGTGTTATTTTTGAGCCACCCCATCACCACCGTCAAATCCCTTTCCACCACTAGGTCACTAGATTTAGTATAAAGCCATACTAACACCTTGTAGTACTGCTAGCAATTCAACCCTTGTAGAATCTACATATCCTCCAGAACTAGAAAATAAAACCATAACTACACCATGCCTAAAACTTTGTTTCTATTCACCATCCAGCTAATCTTTATTTTCTTTTTTTTTTTTTTTTTTTGGGGAAAAAGGTAAGGTAGTCTTGACCTTCCCACTGCCTTGTTTAAGGGGAAAAGGCAATGTACTTAGTCTACTTCTGGTGTTCCTTATCCTATCTCAAATTATGTATCACATGATTATTTATTTCCATGATATTTTGCTTTTTTCTCTGCTCTATCTTCTGTTTATATTTCCAAAAGTATTGTATAAGCTTTAAAACAGCTACAATGGAGAGAATCCATGGACCAAAAGATGGACGACCTAGAAAAAATCAAAATTGAAGTCAATGAAACTTTCACATGGAAAAATGCCAATTGGCTGTAAATAGATGTACTGTGGAGACTCTGTGACTTGATGTATCTTATTAGTATAGTCCCTGTTGTATATTACTTATTTATCTTATTCTCTTTTCTCTTTCCTATATGGGCATTCTTGTAATTGTACATATGTTTTAATATATAGAGACTCTTTGAGGTGGGGGTCAATTCATTCTTGACACCTCTAAAATTATTCTTGTTCTTTTCTCTATTCAGCCAAGAGTGTTGGCATGGTATCAGAGCAGGTTGTTCTCTGATATATCCTCTCTCTCTCTTTTGAACCTCACGAGAAGCAGTAATCTTGTCGTATCAGGGCTGTTTTGATCAACCCTTTTTTGTTAAGTCTTCTCTGCGCAACCAGTAGGAGAGATTTTATTAGATCTCTCATGGGAGGCTTTGGTTCAAGGCTAAACTTCAAATCTGGTGTCGCCTAGACCTGATCTATTCTCCCTACAAACAGCATCGGATTCGGTGAAGTTTTTGAAGCAGTTCTGATCTTCTTCTTGGGGTGGCAATATTGTACAGTTTCCTTTTCTGGACTGCAACAACTTTGAACTCCAGACCGAAGGGTTCTCTCAAGCTCTTTTTAACCTTACACTCAATTTCTCGTTTGGAATCTTCGAAGGGCTGTTTCAATCTGCCAAGATACTTCTTTGTTCTTGGAAAAGACGCCTGATATGTTGGTAAACCACAGTTTTCTCTCAATCGGCTGAATCGATCAACCTATAACTCTAGATCTGGTGTCGTCCTAGGGATTTCTCGCTACCCATTTATTTGTTTCAGATTTCAGAATTGATATTTGAGAGATTTTAGATTCGACAGTCCTAAAACTTGCCTTTTTTGGATTGTTAACTCAAGTCCTTGATTGCTGAAGCTGTTTATGGTATTTTATTGGGGTCCCTTGACCTTCTCTAGCATTGGAATACTTGTCTTTCCTCTTGGACTAGAAGGAACTATTGCTGAATTTGGTTTTCTCTAATATCCTTGTGTCTGAACTGTTGTTTTTGTGCTAAAATGGCCTATGGGAATGGCACTGATGTTGTAGCACATGGAAGTAAGAAATCTACTACTGGTGGTGATTCTTTTGTTAAAGGTGATTCTCTAGCATCTATGGTTGAGGAAAACTTTCGACAACTAGTAACATCTGCTATTTTTTCTACCTTTTCTACTATTGGCTTACCTGGTGAGTTCTCCAATTATTGTTCTTCTCCTTCTCATGTTTGGATCATTGACTCTAGAGCTACCAACCACATGACAGGAGCCTACCCTCACCAACCAAGTAACCTTACTAAAACCCATCACAAACATTTCATTACTGCCAATGGTGAAAAGTTAAACATCATTGGTAGTAGTGATTTGTCTCTTAAGCTTTCACCCACTAAATCTTTCCCTCTTACCAAGACCTTTCTTGTTCCTAATCTCACTACAAATCTTAGTTCTATTGGCCAATTAGTTGATGAAGATAACATTCTCATCTTTTCTCATGATGGATGTTTGATTCAAGATCGGAACACTAGGAAGGTGAAAGGGAAGGGGCGCAGGTTGGGTCGTCGTTTTACATTGGAGTTCTAGAAGTCTCAAATAGCAACATCATCAGCTTATTTCAGTTCTTCCACTTCTAGTTCCTTTCAGAGTCATAGAAATAATGTTTGGGACTTATGGCATAAATGTTTGGGTCATATACATGTTTAGAAATTAAAATTTTTGTTTGATCCAGGTCTTATAAAGAATAGAGTTCCTTCCTTGCAAATGAGGATAAGAGGATTATCCTTATCACTTAAAGAGTTCAGATCCAAATAAAGATTTGGATCAAGAAACTCCTAATCAGATTAGGAAATTGACTCTTTAAGCGTTATATATAAAGAGGAGGGCGAACTAAAAAAGACTTCTACAGTTTGACTGCTTTCTGCTTCCAGTTCTCTCTCTCTGCTCTTGCCGCCCTACCCTGTTCGATCTCCACCTCTTTGAGTGATCAAGATTCAATCTTGATATTGTTTCTGGGTGGAAGAAACAATTTTGAAGTTGTGCTCACTACCCTGTTCGATTCTTGCTGAAGAATCTGAGGTTCTTGCTAATCCTACCTCACCCTAAACTGTGTCATCTTCAGTGGAGGGAGGATTTGGTACTCTCTTTGGGCATGAACACCTACGTTGGAAGGAGCCTTTTGCGTGGAGTTTTTCAAGAACGAACCTTGAAAAATGCAGTTTTTCTAAATCAGGGAATAGGATTCCCGGATGGGAGAAATAAATTTTTGAAATTTCACCCAGCCACCCTACATGGTTTGGCCATCCATATGATGGATCTCCCATCTCTTCATAGACAACTAGAAGCATGAAAGACTTTTCTGACTACATCCCAAGGCATAAGCTCCGAGACATTCCTCTCCACAATGGAAGATTCACTTGGTCAAATATGCAAGATAATGTAGTTAGCTGCAAACTAGATAGATTATTGATGACTGCAGACTGAGAGGAACACTTCCCAAACAAGTATTTGTGTTTAAAATCAGGGGAGGTTTAAGTATTTTACCCATAAAATAATTAGATAATAAAATTTTTAAAGGGCATAGTGATCTACCCAAGGCAACAAGGAGCCCACAACCCCCTTAAAAACTTACTAAAAGAGAAGGCAATAAGTTTTTCAGTTCAGCCACTTCAGCAATCATCAATTGGCCCCCAAGATTAACAATTTAAAATCAGGGCAGAAACCATATCTTTGTATGTTTCTACCATGAAATCATCATGAAGAGATTAATTGTCCCAAGACAGTAGAATAGATAAGTGCTAGAGATTCTACAAGCCTACAACCCATAGGAAACTCATAACAAGGAATCTTGTATTTGAATTTTTAACAGTACTCAATCCTGTATATGTAACTCAACAACACATCACTATTCACTCATGATAGTATAACTCGAGCTCAAGTATATTCTTTTATACATATTGAATAAAGTAGGAGTCGAGTGATGTTACAAATGATGTGGAAAAACTTTTCTTGACAAAAATACCCCTATCCCTGACTTTGGCCCCTCTCTAATTTTGAGGGCATTTGAACTACTACTTTTACCTCATCTCATTCCCCCTCATTAAGTCTTATATTTAAGGTAATAACTCCCATTTTCTCTCATTAAATCCTATATTTAAGGTATTTTTCTCACCAATAAATTCTACTAGTTTTATCTAAGTTCAATACTTCCAACAATATAAAACCCATGTTTTTTAAAACCAACCTAGGATGCTAGAACAAAATTGTTCTTCCATCCAGCTGGTGGGTAAGAAATTGAACCATCGGGGTCAAATAGGTCAACCCATGATGTCATAGTTAAAAAGATGAAGAAAATGTTGGGCACATCTCTAATGTTTTCTATTAATCATACAAAAGAAAAATAAGTGTGATAAACAATAGTTTTAATTGATGATGGAAATCAAATCATATATACTTGCTAACAACAAAATGGTGTACAGGAAGTGCCCTGAATGTTCGCGGAATAGAATCTTTGGGCTCTTCTCCGTGTGCCTTCGTTGTCTCTTTTTCAGTTATGCATATGGCAAATTGAGTTTTCATGTAATTACAAGAGTGCCATTATTTTGGCTTCATTATAATGTACCCTTGGTTATTTGGGTTCACATGTTGGTCACCAAGTTGTAATCTCAAATATAATTAAATTAAAAAATATATATCTTTTTCTGATAAAAAAAAAGTTGTTATTGGGTGGTTGGGAATCAATTTGGGTCAGAAAAGGAGATTTGCAAATTTAGATGGTATTGTGGTGAATTGGAGGTGTTGAAGAAACCTCGAGTTGCAAATAAAGTTTATTTAGTGCATGTTACTAAAGTATTCTCTAGATTGAAAGAGGGCCTGGTAAGGGCCGACCCAACAAACAAATTCAAGAGAGATTATAAGGAAAAAGGAACAAAATTCAAAGGCTCGATTAAGGAGATAGTGAAGAAAAAAGATTGAGACTCAAGCTTTTGATGGAGTGGTCACCCATGCATTAATTTCATCTGAGAAAAAGTTAGAGCTAATTGGTGAGCAAGAGTTTCATGAAAAGGAGTGGGGAGGAGTGCAGGAGAAGAATTCCAACAAATCCATTTTAGATAGCAAGGAAGAAAAGGGATAATTGGTGGAGATTGAGGATTTAGCTGCAAGAGAAGTCGGAATTGGCAAGAGCTTAGTTCTGTTCTTTTCGGGTGGCGAAGAATTTGATAGATGGGCTTTTGAAGCATTTGGAAGGAGCAAAAGGGAGGAGGGTCTAAAGAAGAGCCCGGTATGGGAAGGAGGAGAGGCATGGAACGAGGAAGGGATGGGCAGGAAGAAGTGTTTGAAGGAGAAGATTAAGGTGTGGGCAAGATGGCAGAAGGCTTCATGCATCAGTTCAGGAGTTTGGGGTTCCAGAGTTTCAGGAAGAAGATTTTTTTTCAGAAAGAGATTTGGAGTGTCTTTTCTTTTCCTTTTACTTTGATGTCATTGTGTTGTGATTGGATAGAGTTTTTGGGTTTTGCCTCATCACCCATTGATGTTTGTATAAAACAAAGTTCTGCCAAAAGAGACAGTACCATTTCAAGCAAAAAAAAGTTCAAGAAACAATCATTACCGACCTTGTCTGGCCTAAGGATTTCATCCATTGTAATATAAGCCAGTGCCTCGTCACCAGCCCATTCAAGATAAGATGTTACACCTACAAGAGGCTTCCCAATAGGAGTTCCAGTCTCAGCATCAATCACATAAACAGTATAGATCTCATCTCCTTTTGTGTCTTCTGCATATGCCACCAACTTATTATTTGGACTGACCTGAAAAAGAAAAAGAAGGAAAAAATAAGTGATGTAGCATTTTAATGATAAATCGCAGTATTTTAACCCAAGGGAGAGAAACAGAAAATGGTGAATTTACTTTGAAAGCTCCAATGCTGTAATAGTCATGTCCTTGAGCCTTCACATTCTCATCTAGGATAACATGCTCTCCAGGAGCATCAGGTCCAGTTGGCATAACATCATACACAGAAGGGGGTGCAGAAGCATTGGATATAAGGCACCTACAGTATTGAACATATTCTTTTCCCTCCAATGTCCTTTCATAGTAGTAATAGGGCCCTTTGCGTTCAGGTGCAGAGATGTCATCCTCCTTGATTCTCCCTCTTATCTCAGCATAAATTTGATCTTCAAGGTGTTTTGTCCCTAAAAAGAATTCATGACCAAGGTCCATCTTCCATCAAAAAACAGCATAATTTAATTATCTTAATGATGCCAGTAGTAAGACATAAACAATGAGAAGAATAACCTACAATAACAAGAAAGAACAGAGATGGAAAGACTATTTGAGCATTCAAAATCATGGAAAGTCTGTCCCACACATTCTATTATTATATATTAGAATGTGGAGAATTACATTATTGCCCTTAATAACATGATATGGTGTACTGCTCTTATTCCAATAAGGGAAAACCCATATTGTAACAGCGCCAAACCAGTGCCCTGTTTGGAGAAAACACCTGAAGATAGTATCTTCAAACAAGGTCAGATCTAGTGATGTCTTACTGCAACAAACCTTCTCAAGGTGCATGCCAACCTTGCATTAGATCATAAAAGGAAAATTTAAGATCAACAACTACATGCATGTGCACTTAATCATCTTAGCAGTTCAACATTGTTGACGTTATTCGCTTTTAAAAACCATAAATGCTATTAATGTCTGCTGAATCTGCCCACCTTCCCTTCTAGAATGCCTTCATTTTTTTCACAATGTCAAATGAAAAGAATACAGCTTATGATTCCTTCATGCCATTTCAATCATACAATACAAACAACAAGCCCTGGTAAATCCCAATTGATAGCCTATACTGTGAAAAAAAATTCCTGAAGGCTTTTTTTTGGTAATAAAATAAAATTTATTAAAACAAAAAAAAAGAAATTACAAGAAAGGTGACCAGAAGTCACCCAAGAGAGAAAAAGAAAAGGAAAAAGGAGATTATTGATAGTGTATCTAGGAGATGCATACGGGCAGCAGTTTCAATTGGTGTAGGGGATTCAACAAGGATTTTCTACTGCTTGAACCTCTTTAAGAGTTGCAGGTACCAAGCATTCATCTTTGTCGCAACTGCCACTAATTCCGACTATCACCTGCCCCACCTCTGAATGCCACTGGTTGGATTTATTTTTGCTTGAAACCCACTTCTCTTAAGCTACTCATAGCCACCTCGATTACTATCAAGCCTCCAATGCCACTAATCTTTGCTTTGTCTTGATCTCTTACATGTATCTCATGACAAAACAAACATAGCCTTCACCTTTCAAAGCCCTACTTTCCTTGAAACCCATTTTCAACCTACCTCTTTAGGCCTACCTCTTGAATCCTCCCTCGATTCAGCCCAACACCCACCCTCTTAATATGTCCACTCCAATTAAACTGAATAAAACTATTTTTTTAAGTTCCTCTATCCAGATCACGTGCATCTTTTTTTATCAATAACATAACCAATTCATTAAATTAATAAAAGCAAGGGAGTACAAGGAATAGAAAAGGGAGAGATAAATTCTATTAGGTCTCCAAAACAGAAAAAAATTACAATCTTGCCCAAAAACATTGATTTCTTCCCAGCCATTGTTTAGCCAAACAGTCGCAAATGAATTAGCCTCTCTTTTCACCCATTGAATAATGACCTCCATGTCTTGTAGCAAGCTTCTAATTCTTCTTTCCTCAAAGATGCAGTGCCACCATCCAACATCCTACTCTTTTTGCAGATAAGTAGTTCCTTAGCCATTTTTACTCCTTCCAACACAACCATCATTTCAGCCCTCAGAGAGTAACCCACCCCAATTGAGCCCAAAGAAAGAGCAAGTACTCTACCATCCTCATCTCTGAATACTCCTATAAGAACCCGGATTTCCTTTATTACTACCATCAAAATGAAGCTTTATGAAGCCTCCATTAGGTGGGGACCAAGAAGACCGAACCATCAAAATTCAGCTTTATCAAACCACTTCTTTATCAGATCACCAGCAGAAAAATCTCCAAATAGAATCAGTGACTTCATCCATTGGACCACTCTTGTAGTGATGATTTCAAGTAAAGCACCCATGCATCTCTCAACTCCTAAGAAGATTCTTTTATTCCTTTCTTTCCAAATCATCCAACACACAGCCACTCTTGTACACCACAAAAGGGTTCTCCCCCTCTTCTTTGGCCACCTGAGAAAGTTAGGGTCATACAGGTTTTGTACAAAAGGTGGAGGGTTCTACCTCCACCCAAACAAAGAGAAAAACCATTCCCAAATTAAAGAGGATAAAGGGCAGGATATTAATCAGTGAATGCAAGTCTCACCCTCAGCTTTATAGATAGAACACCAATGGGATAATGACATGAGGTTTTTTTCTCTAGAGCAAGTCACAAGTATTAATTCTTTCTAATTACACTTCCCAGAAAAAGCTACCTACTCTAGGTGGTGGAATAGGTCTACTCCACACCTCTTTAATCGGAAAAGATAATCCCAGGTTATCACTTAGCTGTATTAGGGACTTAAAAAATGAAGCACATGTGAAGGATCCAGAGGAAGAAAGTGACCTTACTCAACTATCACTTTTTAAAGGATTCAAGGCCACACTTACGAGACTTTGGCAAAGAGGCAAAATAGTATCTATTTCCGATTCATGAAGACCTCTTCTAAAACCCAAGTCCAAATCAAGTCTAGACCTAGAACTAGAATGAATCAAATAAGAGGAGATGTGTTCATCCCTACGGTTTGACAATGCAAATAAAGATGGGAATTGTTCCTTCGAAGGTGAACTACCCAATCAAATATGTACCCAAATTTTAACACGATTCCCAATGCCAAGGTTATAACTAATAAAAGGCAAGAAGGATGGAAAATTTGCATGAACCTAAGACTACTGTTCCTATGGCAGCAGCTGCAACTTTTGCAGATGTCTTGGAAATTTTGAAAACCTCACTCACTTCCTTGTTAACTTCAACCCCCAACCGTCCTCCATTCCCACCCTCTTCCTCCTTCCTCCTCTTGGAAATTTTGAAAAGAAAAAAAGTCCCCATGCTCTCTTCTTTAAATACCAACACCAAAACCAAACCCCAAGTCACTTTGGACATTTGCACCTACCTTTGAACAACTATCAATCATCCATAGCTTGACCCAGTGTCCTATAATGCCATCAATGAGTTATATATCTCCACACCAGCATCTTCACCTCCAAACACACTTTAAGTCTTATCTCGCCGCTCACACCTATTGTTGCAGCTTCAGCTCCCCTACTATTTCTAGATGAAATTTCTTCCACTTTCTTCAATCAATCACCTTACTAGCTTTGGATCTTCCATTTTTCTCAATCAGTTCTTCCTCCCTATACTTATACCTTGTGATGTGCCAGCAATATTCACCTTTTCCTCCTATCTCTGTCTATTTACTTTCTAATACCTTTGAACTCCAAAGTCTTCCTTGGTTCTCTTTCTGTTTGAATCAATTCTTTTCCGATAACTTAAGCTTCAAGGTCTTGAGCAAGCTTCTGAAGGATAGATGTTCAGATGGGTGCATTATATTTTTTATAAAGAAAAACTCGTTAGAAAATAAAAGGAATACAAAAGCAAGTGTAAGAAAACATCTTAGATAAAAGACGTAAATTGAAATAGAAAATGCATCACCCCACACAACATTCCTTATAAAGAAACCAAACCAACCATGATGACTCAATAACTACATAGAAACACCAAACAAAGACCCTCAACTGGACAAAACAGCTCCAAATCAAATTCAACTCCCTCAACTAGACAAAATACCCACTAAGATAGCTAGTTGCGGCTAGCAGTGCACATATTCTTCATAATTATATCATTCATTTTCTGTTTTCTTATTTCTATTTCGCCCCTCTCAGGGATCTCTAAGCATAACAGCTTGTATAGAAATGAGATTTAAAGCTGATCTATGATAGAGTTTAAACCTGACCAATTTTTCAAATCTTCACATTATCAACAACAACTCCACAACCATCCACCTTCTAGTTCTCATCTCCATGTATTTGGATGTATATGCTTTGCTCATCTCCTCCTCATGAATGCACTATGCTGTCATCTCAGGCCATTTAGTGCACTTTTATGAGATACAACTAAGAACATAAAGGCCTTCATTTCTTATGATTCTGCTCCCACAAACATGTATGTTTCAAAATGTTATCGCTTTTGGACACATTACTTACTATGGATCTATTGTTGAGTCCAAAGAAACTCCTACCTCCATCGTGCATGATTTTGATGGTACTACTGTAAATATAAATTCTGATTTTGTTAAGTCTCTCTAGGTATATTAGAGAAAGAGAATGCAAGCATAATCAGAAGACAACCCCCTTCTTATTTTTTTTTTTGATGAATAATAATAAGTTTATTGATTCAGAAGCAACTTTAGAGTGAGTTCATACATCATCCCAACAAGAGGCATGAGCTGCAGCCCCTCCTTGAGTCTTACAAGTAAACTAGGAAAGAAAAACAATAATCACAACTGAGCCCAAAATAATTCTTCCCTATTTACCCCTTGCTTAGCTAACACA